TGTGGACAAGGAGCTGAAGCACATGTCCATGAAACCGCACCCTCCTATTTCTCGTCGTCCTCATTCTCCTCCTCCCCTCCTCTCCTTCTCCTCCTCCTCCTCGTCGTGCTCCGCCTCCTCCTCCTCCCCCCCTCCTCCTTCTCCTCCTCCTTCTTCTTCTCCCCCTCCCCCTCCTCTTCCTCCTCCCCATCGTCCTCCTCATCTTTTTCCTCGTCCTCCTTCTCCATCGTTCCCATTGTCGTGTTCATCCTAATCCCTCCCCTTTTCTTCCTCTTTCCCCTTCTCCTCCTCCTCCTCCTCTCCCTTCTCCTCCTCGTCCTCCTTATCCTCCTGCTCTTCCTCCTTTTCCTGCTCCTGCTCCTGTTCCTGCTCCTGCTCCTGCTCTTGCTGTTGCTGCTTCTGCTCCTGCTTCTGCTCCTCCCCCTGCCCGCGTTCCCGCTTCTGCTCCTGGTCCTGCTTCTCCTCCTGCTCCCTGCTCCCGCTCCTGTTCCTTCTCGTCCACCTCCTCCTCCCCCTCCTCCTCCTCATCCCCTGCCTCCTCCCCCTCCTTCCCCTCCTCTTCCTCCTCATCCTCCTCCTTCTCCTTCTCCTCCTGCCCCTTCTCCTCCTCTTCCCCCTCCTCCTCCTCCTCCTCCTCCTCCTCCTCCTCCTCCTCCTCCTCCTCCTCCTCCTCCTCCGCGCGCGCGCAGACGCGGGCGCGCAGAACCGCGGACGCAGCGGGGGTCCGCCGAGGCCCCCCGACACGCGTCTGCCCACAAAAAGCCGCGACGTTGCGGCAGCTCCAACAATTTGTCACCCACGCACCGACAAAACAACACAACCTACAATTGAAGGAATTCCGACGCGCAGTGCCCGCCGACGCCCTCGCACCCCGGCGCGCAACGACAATTGCTGCGCTCGCGTGCCATTCATGTATATCTCAGGGAAGCTCTACAACCATCATTGACGGTTTACCGCTGGTATCCAGCTAGCAAAGCGCGAATAGTTTTTTGCTCCCACCTCTGGTAGCAGACCGATTTCAGGCATGTAGATACTTAAGACTAGCGCTCCTGAGGATTTCCTCTCGATTGCTGTGCCGACAGCTCTGTGGCTCATCTGCAGCTCGAGTTAAGTTCAGAAAGCCGTCAACGCCTAGCAAGATGATACTTAACAGCCGATCCCGCCCACGTGCTTTTTGACAGTTATCTCCCCCCCTTATATACCTGAGATGAAGATGGCGAGCGGGAATAAGATCGAATATGAGTTGACAGATATTAGAGTTCGAACGAATTGTTGAATTTAGAAAATGATTTCTGAATATGTCAAAAAAAAACAAACTTTCCGTCGAGATTCTTCGAGCCAGCTAGCCCGCCAGCGCGCCGGAACTGGAACCGGCGGTAAACCGTCAACCAGGTCGCCGCCGGGGCCCTCGTAGAGCTCTGGACGCGCGAATTAGGGCTGAGATTGCGGGGAGAAAGCTCCCTCGAGTATCGGCTGGAAAACTCGCAGATTTTTTTTTGGGTGTTGTGCGAAGTTGGTTCCCTACGTCTTTTGATAGTAATACTGCAGCTACGGTTTCATTGGCAGACGCAAAATCCACTACAGGAAAATATTGCTGGTTCTACACCCGCTCAAGTTAATGCAGACAACAGCTATCGAGCACACAGCTCTACGCACATCGAGTGCGGTATTCTAAGAATATCTCCTGATGTATCTCGAGACGAATTTCCGCCACTACATATTGGTGCTTCTCATCATGCTGAATCCATCGGTGCGAATCAGAGCTGTGTAGCTTGCTTCCTGCTTGAGTTAAGCTCCCGAAAACGTTTTCATTTGGAACAATTCTTTCAGGCGGTAGACGGTGTTCTAGAAATCTCCTATACCTCGAATCACAAGCTCCCGCCGATGCAGATTGATGCTTCTCGTCATGCTGAATTCGTCGGCGCGAATCAGAGCTGTGTAGCTTGCTTTCTGCTTGAGTTAAGTTCACGGAACCATTGCCAACTGGGAAAATGCATCCCGACGGCCGACGGTTCCTCCTAATTTTCGAGAGCTGCGCTGCAGTCACAGCCCTGAGGATTTCATCATAAAGCGCGACATGATCGATCGCAGCGAATTGAAATTTGGATTCTCAAAACGAATTGTCCAATCTCTCACAATCTTCGAACAACCGGCCCCTGGTCACCACTGGAAGCCGGCGGTAAACCGTCAACCTTGGTTACCGCCGGGAACTCATAGAGCTTCCTTTCGATGTGCATGACTGGCACGCGAGCGCGGCAATCTTGCATTCCGCGCGCGCGAGGGTGTGGTTTCATAGAAATGTGCATCACAGCACAGCTCGAGTTCATCTCGATACTGCAGACTAGCGCTCGTGATCATTCCCATTCGAACAGTCTTCTTCCGAGCTCTGTGGCTTGCCTACAGCTCGAATTAAGTAGAGAAAACCAACGCCACCTATGCAAAATTTAAAGAGCGCAAATATTTGTTAGTCGCAGTTCTGGTAGCAGAGCGATCTCAGCCGTCTAAATGCTTTCAAGTAGCGCTTCCCAGCATTTCCTGTCGATTGGTGTATATCTGAGCTCCGTGTCTAGCCTACAGCTCGAATAAAGTACTGAAGACAAACATCATCTCTCACAGAAAATTTGCAGAGTCCAAATAGTTGTTCAGTTGTAGCTCTGGTAGCAGACCAACCTCAGTCGTCTCGATACTGTAGGCGACTGTGTCTCATGATTTCCTGTTGAGCGGTGTGCCTCCCAGCTCCTTAGCTTGCCAACAACTCGAATTAAGTACAGATAGCCAGCATTACACAAGTTGTAGAGTACGACTAGTTTTGTTGGTTCCAGCTCTGGTGGCATACCGGCCTTAGGCATCTAACACCGTCTCTCATAAAAATGAAAGAGTGCAATAACTATCTGCTTGCAGCTCTGGTAGACAGATCTTAGGCGTCTAGATTCTTCAGACTGGTACTTCTCAGCATTCCCTGTCGATTGGTGTGCATCTCAGCTTTGTAGCTGGCCTAGATCTCGATTTCAATTGAGGCAACGCACATCGTCCCTCGTAGCATATTTACAGTGCGCATAGTTTTTTCTTACGAGGGTCTGCCACCCCCCTTGCTGACCTGGGTTTGGGAGCAACGTCGGGTTGATTCCCACTTTCCGCCCTCTGCTGACCCAGGCTTGGGAGCTACTACGCGGCCTGTGGAGCCTCGCGAGAAGGGCCCTGGCCGACCCGAGTTGGGGCTGGCCTGTGTTAGTCCGTCAACCAGCGAATTGTGGACGCGATTGCCCCGGGGGGCCCCGACAAGGCCCCCCAAAGGGCCTGAAGCACCCCGCGACGGCTGGATTATATATAGATAGATAGATAGATAGATACATATTCATACTTCCTTACACATACCTAGGGGTGTATGTATAGATGTGGTTTTACAGTGGCCTTTGGCCCATCCCGCCACTGTTCCTCGGTCGCGGACGGAGGAGCTATTGGATATCTCTTGGGGAGCTGTGGAGGTTTCTTGGAAGTCTCTTCGGGATCTCGTGGGCCTCATGGAGATGTCATGGGGTCCTTTCGATCAGAGGTTTCTTTCTGTAGGTCTTTTCGGGGGCGTCATGGAACCTCTTTGGGGTCTGCTAGCGGTATCGGGGGTCTTCTTGGGAGGGGAGGGTTGGTGGTTCTTGAGGGCACTTGGGGTTCCCGTTTCGGAACCCTCGTGGAACCTTCTTGGCGTCCTCTTCTGACCTCTTGGTTGTTTCGTGGGCCATCTTGGGGCCCTTGCAGGCCTTCTTGTGGGCATTCTGGGCTGTTTTGTGGCAATGTCGGGGGCCTTTTCGGCCGTCTTGGTCCACTGGATACCGAACAGGCGAGAACGGTAAAAAATTGGACCCCTTGAAAGCCCGTCGATTTTGGACCCCTTGAGGGCCATTTGCTGTCCCGGCCGCGTGGCCGATAGCGCATCAGCACGGGCTGTCACGGAGCGAAAAGAGCTCAACGTTGCAACGCGCCCGCCTGGTACACCCTTACCCATCGTCTCTTTCCTCCCACTCTCGCCTCCTGGAGGCAGAGCGCCGCCTAGCCCTGCCGGGGTGGGCTGACTCTCCGCCTCCTGTCTCATCCTCGCTGAACCCGAATGATACAGCTCCAGTATTTCTCGACCAGCACCTGCGCCAACGCTGGCGCTGGGGATTCGAATTGTCCCCCTTCTCACTACGGCCTTGCACACAGGTGCTTGGCGATGCCAGTCTGCGCCAGGACGGGTTTCATATCTTGCCCGCACTGGCAATGCTCGCAGGTATGCGTCACGGTGGTTCTGTGTCTTGGCGATGTCCGCTCCGTTTCCGCCCTCCGAAGAGAAAGGCGTGAACGCTAACATCTTTTGAAATCCTATAGATAATCTTTGATTTTGCCTCTTTGGGCCCTCTTGGGGGTCCCGTTGTGGCTCGCTCGAGGCGTCTTTGGAGCCTCTTGGGCCTTTTCCAGTCCTGCTTGTAGCGCTCTTGTCTTGGGCTAAGCCTCTTGGGTCGTCTTGGGCGCTTCCTGGGATCCTCTTGTTTCCTCTTGCGGCTTTCCAATTTCTGGAAAAGTCACGCGACCGGCCCCAGGAAACATCAATGGGGGCTCCAGGAGGCACGCGACAAACTCCAGGATTTGGGCCTCGAGGTTCCACAGAGAAGATTCTCAATACGCAGTGTTGAGGATTGGGGTCTCCTGAGGACCTGAGGATAGCTCGTGACTCGAGGCATGGTGGCGGATACATCATGGCGTCATGAAGGCATCATTCCTTCTGGCGTGTTGGTGTATGAGCACGTCCCGTACCGCCACGGCGCACAGGGTTGCGCTGGCGACCCGCCTCCCAGGGGACACCACGCCCTGGTGCTCTTGTCTCCTCCGGCTGTGCTCACCCTGGACGCGCTCGCCGGCCTCTCCCTCTGCCGCCCTTCCCTCTCCGCTGCGGTCCTCCGCCGTGCTGCCTCCGCTTCTGTTGGCCCTCTGCCCCTCCTGCTCCCAGCCGGCCTCGCTTCGCCCCGAGCCGTCTTCCGGGTTATGGAGGGGGGCCGTGGCAGGCGCCCGCTCACGGCGCAGAGCCGCCGAGGCGCGCCGCTCCTCTTGGCGCGGGTGGGTGGCAGCTTCCGCGAGCCACCCCTCCCTCCACGCTGGGGCTCCTGCTTTCTCTCCCCCCCCCGTTCCCGTCCCCTTCTTCTTTCTCCTCTTCGGTCTCCCTCGCCTCTTCCCTTGCCTCCGCCCTCGCCCCCGCTCTCGACGACTGCACCTTCCTCCCCCCCCTCCTTACATGCTGTCGCTCTTCGACCCCTCCGCCTCTGGTCCTTCGCCTGCCATCGTGCTCCTTGCTCCTGCTCCCGTCCTTGCTCCTGTCGCTCCAGCTCCTGCGCCGGCTTCCCCTGCTCTTCCCGCCCTGTTCGCTTCCGCTGTTGCTGCTCTTTGCCTTCCGCCGCCAACGCCGCGGCAGTCTCCGCCTGCCGCAGCCCTCCACCTCCTTCCCTGGAGCGCCGGCTTGCCTCTTTTGCGTGCTCCTGGCCGACTTGCCGCCTCCTGTCCTTCTCGCGCCCCCCCAGTCAGAGGAAGGAGACACGGCATACATATCCGTAAGGGCTTCGCCCTGTGCCGCCAGCCTCTTCTCTATCATAATGGAAGATGTGGGAGCTATGTTTGGATGCCTGGGCGCCGTCGTGAAGCAGTATCAAACCTCTTGAGAGTACGATCTGGTAATCTCCAGGACAAGTTGAGATCCAGTTGACATCGAATATCTCTGTGTTGCCTTTTTCGAACTTCCCCAGGTGCTGCGTATCGGAGGCCCTCTTGGAACGACTGTGGGCTGCTTGCGGCTACGTTGGGCAAAATCGCGCGGCTTGGACGTTCTTCGGGTTCCCCGGCGTAATTTACAAGGGGCCGTGCCTTCGGGGACGCGAACCTGGCGCAACTTACTAGGAATTGCTGCCTCTGGATAATTCTCAAGGGATCGTGGCCTCGGGGACGCGTTTTTTGCGTAGCTTACGAGTGGCCGTCGTCTCGGGGACGCGAATAGATGGTAATGGGTGAGGGATCGTGGCCTCGGAACACGAGCATTGCGTAGTTGATGAAGAACCGTAGCCTCGGGGACGTGAAGGTGGTACAATTTACGTGGTGTCGTGGCCTCGGGAGCGCGAGTCCTGCCTCACTTACGAGGAGCACAGCGCCGTTACGAAGGGATCCCGGCCTCCGGGGCGCGACTGCTGCGCGATTCGCAATGCATTTTGCGTAACTTCACGAGGGGTCGTAACCTCGGAACCGTAACCCTGAGAACGCAAGTATTGCGTACATTATCAGAGAGCGCAATTTTCGGGAAGCTGAGCATTGTTCGATTCACGAGGGGTCGTGGCCTCGGGACCGCGAAGATTGCATAATTTACGAAGGATGGTGGCCTCGGGAAAGCGAGTATGGAGTAATGCAGGCGGGGTCGTGGCCACACGGACCCGAACGTAGCGTAATCTACCAGGGACCGTGGCCTCGGGGACGCGAGCGCCCGTCATTTACGGGGGATGGTGACCTCGGGAAAGCAAACACAACGTACTTTACAGAAGGATCGTGGCCCCCAGGGACGCGCATCCGGTGTGTAATTTATACGAGAGATCGCGGCCTCGGTGGGGCGAATCTCATGCTACCGACGAAGGATCGTGGCCTCGGAAACGCGGAAGCTGTGATAATTTACAGGGGATCTTGGCACAGGGGACACGGTTGCTGCATCATTTACGAGGGATCGTGGCCTCGTGGGCGCGAGTCCAACTTTTTTTTACGTGCCCCACGGCCCCGCAGGAATGCCGAGCACACGATACGGGGACGAAAGGAGCTGGTTTGAGGCTCCCCCACCCCTTGCGCGTTCCGTAAGAGCTTGCAGCAGGAAGCATAATGTAGGGTTGCAGCATGGGAGGCTCGAAATCGGAGCGTAAGCTGCCCGCGTGCCGGCGCGCCCTCGTTGCCAGTGCAGCGTGCCGCGCCGGCGGCCTGCGTAAGCCGCGGCGGAAGGCACTGTGCCATCTTGCGTAAGAACCCGTTTGTGGTCGTCGTTCACCTGCTCTTCGGCGTCGGCGGTGGTGGTGACATTCGGGCTTCCTGGGTGGCCGGAAAATTACCGCCACCAGAACCTAGGATCATCTTCCCCCTGGTCGAGGCGTCTACCAGTGGATGCTCTGCCGCTCCCCACTGCCGCCACCACAGCCCAGTCGGAACTGGGGCCGCTGGGCTCCTTCACAGGCAGGCACCTCCGCAGGCTGCCCCTTGGGCGCTCCCCACGAATCCGGGGGAGGAGCCCCAAGAGAGGGGCCCCGACGGCAATGAAGGGAGGAAGAACCACCCCGACCCCCATAATTTGCCAGACGGCCTAGGGCGTTGAATAACAGCCCTGCGCTGCTCGACTCCTTCCAAGGGTGTGTTTGCTCAACGGCTTTGCTTGTCGGGGTGCTTGTTATGGGGGTGTTTTTTCTGCTCTCTGGGCAGGGCTCTGTGACCCAGACGTGCGATGCCATGTTTTTTAAAGTGCGGGGCCCCCGGCAGGCCCGACCCATCCCCTGGGGCCGGTATATTTTATCCCGGCCCGCTTTTCGATGGTCCCAGGGCCCAGCGAGGGCCCCCAGGGCCCGAAGGCGCCCGTAATTTTCCCGTCGGGAGTGTCCCATGACGCGATCGTGCCTGGGGGCTGCACTCCCCCGCCGCTCCGCCCAGTACCACGCGCGAGGCCGCCCCGGCTGCGTCCCCCAGCCTCGGCTGGTGGATGGGCGCGTGCCCATGTGGCGGGGCGCAGGCCGTTGGGCCCACCTGCAGCAGGACGCGCCCCCGTTTGGGAGCGGCGGGGTGCCGCTGGAGGGCGGGGGAGTTTTGGACGGACAGGGGCCGAGGATCGAGGAGGGTCGAGGGTTGATGATGGTGATGATGATGGTGATGGTGATGATGATGATGATGATGATGATGATGATGATGATGGTGATGGTGATGGTGATGGTGATGGTGATGGTGATGATGATGATGGTGGTGATGATGATGATGACGATGACGACGATGACGATGACGATGATGATGCTGATGATGATGCTGATGATGATGCTGATGATGCTGCTGCTGATGATGATGATGATGCTGCTGCTGATGATGATGATGATTAGGATGAAGATGCAAATGAAGATGATGATGAGGATGATGATGATGATGATGCTGATGCTGATGATGATGATGATGATGATGATGATGATGCTGATGATGATGATGATGATGATGCTGATGCTGATGATGATGATGATGATGATGATGATGATGAGATGATGATGATGATGATGTGATGATGATGATGATGATGATGATGATGATGAGATGATGATGATGATGATGATGATGATGTGATGATGATGATGATGATGATGATGATGATGATGATGATGATGATGATGATGATGATGATGATGATGATGATGATGATGATGATGATGATGATGATGATGATGATGATGATGATGATGATGATGATGATGCTGATGATGATGATGATGATGATGACGATGATGATGATGAGATGATGATGATGATGATTGATGATGATGATGATGATGATGATGATGATGATGATGATGATGATGATGATGATGATGATGATGATGATGATGATGATGATGATGATGATGATGATGATGATGATGATGATGATGATGATGATGATGATGATGATGATGATGAATGATGATGATGATGATGATGATGATGATGATGACTGATGATGATGATGATGGAGATGATGATGATGATGATGATGATGATGATGATGATGATGATGATGATGATGATGATGATGATGATGATGATGATGATGATGATGATGATGATGATGATGATGATGATGATGATGATGATGATGATGATGATTGATGATGATGATGATGATGATGATGATGATGATGATGATGATGTGTGATGATGGATGATGATTGATGATGATGATGATGATGAGATGATGATGATGATGATGATGATGATGATGATGATGATGATGATGAGGATGATGATGATGGATGATGATGATGATGATGATGATGATGATGATGATGATGAAGATGAGAGAGATGAGAGAGAGGAGGAGAGGAGGAGGAGGAGGAGGAGGAGGAGGGAGGAGGAGGAGAGGAGGAGAGGAGGAGGAGGAGGAGGAGGAGGAGGAGGAGGAGGAGGAGAGGAGGGGGGGTGGAGGAAGAGGAGGAGGAGGAGGAGGAGGAGGAGGAGGAGGAGGAGGAGGAGGAGACCGAGGATCGAGGTCGGGGGGGTGGGGGTGGGCGGGGCAGAGGAGGGGCGCGAGGCCCGTCTGCGTCGTGCTGGCTCTGGAGAGGCCGCCGGCCGAGACGGCCGCGCTCTGGGGCGGGCGGCGCGGCCGGCCGCGCGGGATCTCGCGTCCCCGAAGAGAAGCACGGCGGGAGAGTTTTTTGGCCGCTTTCGGCCTCTTGGGGCCCTGGCCGGCCCCAGGGCCGTCAGCGGGGAGGAGGGCCGGGCCCGGAGAGATCGAGGGCCGGGGTTTTCGGGGACCCCGTGTGGAACCAGTCGGGGCATGGCGTGTCTGCGAGCGGGGGGCCTCCTCAGTGGTGCCTCGAGGGCATCCCGCCGGGAGATGTCGCTCTTCGGCTGGAGGTCGCCTGGGTGTCCAGTGGGTCCCGTCGGGGGGGGCGCCGCGGGCCGGGAGGCCAGGTCTTCGGGATGGGGGTCGCGGGCTCCAGCCGCGGGCGGGTGGCGCGAGGACTCCTGGGCGTGGGGCGGCGGAGGCCCATAGGGTTACCCCAAAATTGATTTCCAGTCGAGTCTACGGATCATTTTGCGTATTTTTGTCATGGGCTCGACGAGAAAATTTAGTTCTGGGGTACATCAGTTCTGTAGTCGATCCCCTACTCGAAGGGTCGGGGCTGGACGACCGAGGCAGACGACGGCGACAAGGAGCTTCAAGGTTGCTTCTGCAAGGAGTGGCTTTGAAGCGGCAACCGGCTTGGCTTCACGCTCTTTACTTTGCTGCTTCAGATTTCGAAGAGTACCTTTGTGGCTCTGCGCATGCGCGCGCTCTCTTTCTTTCTCGTTTTTTTTTTTTTTTTTTTTTTTTTTTTTTTTTTTTTTTTTTTTTTTTTTTTTTTTTTTTTTTTTTTTTTTTTTCTCTCTCTCTCTCTCTCTTTCTTCCTTCCTGTCTCGCTTCTTGTTTGTTCTTTATCTCTCGCTTTCCTTCGCTCGCTTTGAACCTGTATCTCCAGTTTTTTGGTTTGTTTTTATGTTCTCTCTCTCTCTTGTGTTGTTTTTTTTGTTCTCTCTCGCTCTCTGTCTTTGCATCTCTCCCTGTTGCTCACATATTCATCAGTTGCCTCCCCCTGCAGCATTCTCTCCCCATGTCTATCTCCCTTCCGCTGACCACCGCTTTGCGTATCCGTCTCTGTCTCTGTACCAGTCTCCGCGTCCAGCTCGAGCTCTCTTTTTCTGTTTGTTCTCTCTCTCTCTCTCTCATTCTTTCTTCCTCCTACATCCCTCTCCGCTCGTGTGTATGCTTGTCACACGAAGGTGCCCCAAACTACGCGACCTTGTTCATCGAAACATCTGCGCGTGTGCATAGGGGGGGGGATGCATCGACGGGGGGCTGTCACAGAGGGGGGGGCGATGATCCCCCAAGATGCACAAGGTCGCTCGGGGGGGGATGATTCATCGAAACATCTGCGCGTGTGCGCGGTCATGCGTTGCACACTCTTCTGCTCGGCCATGCGCGGCCGCAGAGGCATTGCGCCGGCCCCCCCTTGTCGACGCGGCCTCTCCCGCGGGGAGGTGCGCACTCGGCCCAGGGCCCCCCGGCCAGGGCGGCACGCGGTCCGACTCGGTGCGACTCGACTCGCCAGCCGGAGCGCTCGATTCCGATTCGATGCGGCTCGGTTCGATTTGCTGGCATCGGCCAGGGCCGGCCGGAGCCAGGCGCGGCGATGCAGTTTCGATTCGAGTCGGGGTTCGATGCGCTGATGGTGCGATCCGTGTCCGCTCTGATGCGATGTCGTGATGCGACCCAGCTCAGGCCTGCCTGCCAGCACCCCTCAGGCGCCCCGAGGGGATGGGTCTCAGGGTTCCTATTCCAATCCAGACGGGAGGAGGAGGAGGAGGAGGAGGGGGGGTGGAGGAAGAGGAGGAGGAGGAGGAGGAGGAGGAGGAGGAGGAGGAGGAGGAGGAGGAGGAGGGAAGCGAAGGCCAGCCTGGAGCTCGGCAGGCGCGAAGCCCGGGGAAGCTCTGAGGGGCCCAGGGGAGGTCCAGGCAGTGGAATGCACAAGTGGACTCTTCTGGTCTTCCCCCCTTCGGAGAGTAGCCTCCAGTGGAAGGCTCAAGGGATGGCACAAGGTATGGCCTAAGGGATGGCCCAACTATATAATCCAAACGCGGCACATCCCACAGTTCTTCGGATACGGGCCCGCCGTGTGCTGCTGACATTTTTTTGGCAATCTTGTGTGGCGGAAGACCGAACAAACCGTCAAGATCGAAGAGTCGGCGGCTTCGAGATCGAAGGCTGGCTGTACGCAAGGTGATGGTTCACATAGATGCGCTCAGAAATCATATAGCAGCATTCTTCCAGGCGCTGGTCGCAGTGAGCTAGGGCACCGACGCAGCTGTCAACGCCCTGGTTCGCTTGCAAGAGTGGATTTCATGATGCAGATGCTTGGTTATGGTACGCTGGTTTTCACGGCCGATGCATGATGGGCATCGTCCGCAGGCTCTTAGGATTCGAAGCGCCCCGCGATAGCAATGGTAGTGGGACCCAACATGTCAAGCAAGCGTGTGCAGCTGAACGTCGAAATAGAGCAGCAACGCGTTTGGGATCGTCTTGGCGAGGGCATGTAAATCGGAATCGATCGGGGGAGTTGTAGCACATGAGGCTAGGAAGTGTGCATGAGGCTAGGATATGTGCGATATTCAAATCTGGTCCCTGAAGCCGTCCAGCTATTACACAAATGCCCGATGGGGGGCAGACGAGATTGTACAAGATAGGCCCCATGCTGCCTCAACTTGAAACATTTGTAGCATTCCAAAGCGGTCCTGCGACGCCAAGAACGGCTTCCTCGAGGACCGCCGATGACTGCCGGCATGAACATCCATTACGCGAGAGCAGACATGCCCATTTCTTCCGTGCGAAGCGGAGGAGCTCCCCAAACAATATCGGCATCGAGACGTTTCTTCCACATTGTTGTTAGCAGCAGTTCTTGTCTGCATGGCAAAGTCTCGAGAATCTGCGCCACCCACGCAAGTTGATTCCGTGTGTGCCTCGACCCTCAAGGGGCGACGCGCGCGCTCAGTATGTTTTGTTGATTTTGTTGTTGTTGTTGTTGTTGTTGTTGTTGTTGTTGTTGTTGTTGTTGTTGTTGTTGTTATTGTTGTTATTGTTGTTGTTTTGTGGTGGTGGTGGTGGTGGTGGTGGTGGTGGTGGTGGTGGTGGTGGTGGTGGTGGTGGTGGTGGTGTTGTTGTTGTTGTTGTTGTTGTTGTTGTTGTTGTTGTTGTTGTTGTTGTTGTTGTTGTTAGTAAGGGCGGGGCGCCCCCACCCGTGTCCCACAACACCCCCCTTCCCCACACACAACAGCCACAACAACCGGAATTCCGAATGATTCATGGGAATTCCGAAAGATTCCTAGGATTTCCTAAGGATTCCTAGGAATTCCAAAGGATTCCTAGGGATTCCTAAGGATTCGTCGGAATTCCGAAAGCTTCATAGGAATTCCTAAGGATTCCGAGCAATTCCGAAGGATCTCAGGGAATTTCAAAGGATTCCTAAGAATTCCTAGGAATTCCT